GTCCCGGGGAGCGGAGGTCACCTGCTGACAAGCTTTTTTTTTTTTTCCTTTTCCTGCATGCTCCTATTTTTTTAGTGCTGTGCATGCAGTACTTGTGCTGACGCACAGAGACACGCCTCTCCGCTGTTAAAGAGTTCCTGAATTTACAATGACTCTACTGTCTAGCCAATGCCCTACACTAAAGGAGACTGCATCAAAAAAATTTCTTTTGTGACCCGGGAGAGATAAGGCTTTGATCACCTGAGATCACATTACGGGGGGGACCCAGCCGGGTTCTCCCGGGGAGCTTTTCTTTTAGAGATGGACATCTTGCTGCAGGAATTGCGAAATGCCAGGGCTCCCAGAACCGGGCGAGTATAGACACACAATATGGCTCGGTTCATTGTATGCAATAGGCACACATCCAACATAGCATCACAAAAGAATTACTCTTATCTGATGTCTCTCCAGAGGTGTGTGCGGGGAGGGGGATTCCCACAGGGCAGAGCCCAGAGAGGAGTTTACGCGCAGCCCCCGGGGTTTTCTCTTTGTCCTCCTTATTCCTGGAGAAAAACTTCCTTCTGACGCTCACCCCCGCATCCACACACGCGCACGCAGGTTTCCCGCACACGCTCGCAGGAGACCACGTGAGCCCGCTCTCCCCAGGGCATCTCCCGAGATGGGATGCACACCTCCCCAGGATCATCAGAAGATTTCAAAATCACCCAAACTCAAATAGCACCAGCTATTCTGTGACCTTCTGGCAAACACAACAGCAATGTCACGGCACCGATACAAAAGTACCTTCCCGCAAAGAAGCCGGGAGCCCCTAGGCATCCCACGGGTTTGCCGTGCCCGGTCTTCCCAGCCCCGGAGCGAGCAGGGGCATCACCGGCGCGCTACATGGGGAAAAGAGTTACCAGGGAAGCGCGTCCCGGTGGGGGGAAGAGAGAGATCAAATCGACAAGGATAAAAAAAAAAAATCTATTTAAAGCCAAGGCGCTGCAAGGGGTGGAAGAACTGCCCCTCGGAATTGTCAGCTTCCTACAACTGCGGCTGGAAAGCCATTTTTAAAAATAGACGCCACGAATAATGTGGTCACGGCCGCCTTGCGAAGGGAGCAGCTGGCGGGCGGGAAGGGGGGTTTGTGTTGATGGCTGATCCGCCGAGGGGAAAAATGAATGTGTCCGGGGGTGCAGATGTACACGAGCGGCATCGCCGCGGCGGAGCAGGAGCCCTTGCCGGGTGCTCGGTAGCGATGTTTGTGTAGCCCCAAGTTCTGCTTAAGAGCAGACGCGTACTGGGAGGTGGTGGTGGCAGTGGTGGAATTTTTGCTCGGGACGTTTCTGCTGAATGATTTGATTTCGCGAGTTTAAAGGGTTTTTAATCATTAACCACCACAATTTAAAATTCACCGAGTTTCCTGGAAGGAGTGGCTCTCGTCCTATACGCAAATTGACGAGGGCTTTTCTTTCGTTTTCTCTGCCGATTACCTGCCCTAGTAACTGCCCGAATTGCACAGCCTGTCTTGTTCGCTGCTCGGCGAGGATTTAGCAGCAGCGCGCCCGCAGCCAGGCTCTCCGCCCGGCCGAGCCCGCACCCGCAGCCGTGCGGCAGTGCCGGTGACAGGCGCCCCGGGAAAGAGGAAGCGCAGGTGGGGTCCGGAGCCAGTCGGGAATCCTGCGCCAAAACCTGCCTTTCTCGAGCTGTGTGGCGTGTCACAGCGAATTTGAAAAGAGCATTCCCTGGGTTGCCTTTCCAGGGGACACTGTTTTGTGACTCTGCAGCGAGGGCTGGAGGGCTGCTGGCCCCGGCCGCTCCGGAGAGCCTGTGCACGCACACACGCACACATGCACACGCACACGCACACGCGAGTCTAGTGGGCCTGGAGCTTTTCGGCTGCCAGGGAGTCTGTTAAAGGCCCGGCAGATTGAATGTATGAAAGTGACTAAAACAGCCTGGCTGAGCTGATACTTTGGGGTTTTTTTTAAGGAGGGGTGCGGAAAATATGCCAGGTTAGCTCGCCACGCTCCCAGCTGTTGGAAGGAGTTAACTTGTGAGTGAACCAACCTGACAACACTTAAATTCGGTCATAAAAACAAAGTCCTGTGTTGATTTTTTTTCTCTCCTTGTATTTTAATGCCAGATGTTGAACGATATCTAAGCTGCACTTTATTGCTTTGTGAAGCTATTTAGATAATGCCGGTGTTGAAGGAGATGATCTCCAAAGGGCTCATAAGGGAAGCGGAGAGGGAGGGACGGGGGAGGAGAGGACTGAGGCTCTCGCATGGTCGCAGGTTCATCCTCCATCCCCCTCCATCCGCTGCTCCCTGACACTCTCACGCTGCTTACAGGCTCTTCCTCCC